TGGCCGCGGATTCTGTTCGTCACCCGATCCGGCGTTCGCGAACGGAGGCAAAATTTTGCGAACGGAGCTGTTCGTGAACCGAATTGTTCATGAACAGAAGCGTTCGTGAACCGAGGTACCACTGTATTAAGTTCTAAATTCTCTCCCATTGTACCTAACTGGTGATTATATCCAATTGTTTATCACCATTAAAATTGGTTCTGATTACAGATAGTCCTTGCTTAACAACCAGAATAGGGACCAGAGAATTTGTCATTAAGCAGCGTGGTTGTTAAGCGAGACATCATGTGACTTAATCTGTTTTACAACATTTTTGTGTTGGTTGTTAAGTGAATCATACAGTTCCCCATTGATTTTGCTTGCCAGAAGCTGGCTGGGAATGTTGCAAATGGTGATCACGTGACCCTCGGACACTGCAAACATTGTAAGTGCGAGCTGGTTGCCAAGCGCCCAGATCACAATCAGGTGACCGCAGGGGCACTGCAATGGTCATAAGTGCAAGGACTGGACATAAGTTACTTTTTTTAGTGCCATTGTAACTTGGAACGATTGCTAAACAAATGGTCATTAAGCGAGGACTACCTGTACTGTCTTTACATCAAGTATTTCCCCTTAAAAACCATATTGTAATCCCCTTCTTGAAACAGGTTTTGCACCGATTGCAAGAACAAAGTCCTGCGGGCTTACACCATCCTGATCGGTGAGCTAGATTGCAGCAAAGAGAAAGGCTACTGCGCCACACTTTACGAGGGGTTGCGCTGCTGCCCTCATGAGCGCCACATCCACGTCTGCTGCGAGACCGACTTCATTGCCCACCTCCTCGGCCGAGCCGAACCTGAGTTCGCAGGAGGGTACGAGTATGTAATTTGCTAGAGTGGGCTTTCTAGCGCTTTTGCTTCTTTACCAAAGGAATGTATATTTCTGTCCCAAGATATACATTGTGGGCGTGTGCCTTCTACGTCTCTCTTTGTCTGCCGCACTGTTGGCGCTCGGGGATGCACGTGCTTTCTGCACGCAGGCCCTTCTGAGTTTGTTTTCACGGTGCTGCTGGGACGTGGAGTGGGTTTACCACGCAAGCCAAGTGAACCACATCCCTTCAGGCAGTGGGTTTATAAGGGAGTCTCCTGAGAACGCCACGGCTTCTTTTCTCTGCCTGCCTGCAGTCCCTCTCTGGCCTTGATTCCCAAATGGTGCAAAATGCTTTGAGGTCAAGACACCCTGACCTCTCGAAACCCCATGCCAAGCTTGCCAGAAGCATCCTAACTTCACAACACTGCCCTCCAACTTCAGAATGGATGACGTTGACATGACCCGTTCCCGTCCAGGGTCAAAAGAGGGCATTTGGGGTCAGAATATTTTCCCCTGCACAAACATGTTCAGCCTCTTTATGGGTGTCCTACTTAATGGCCCGCCATTACAGCACATTGGAGTAACTTGGGCTTTGCAGGGGAACTTTTAATGAATTTTTAAAGTTATATTTAAGTTTATTATATTGAGTTTGCTTTGAGTTTTTTTTTTCCCTAATGTTCACAACCACCATGTGAAGTAGGTTATGAGATACAGTGAGGTCAGCTGGATTGGAGCCTGGGGAAGATTTAGATCAAAGCTCTGTGCTCAGACTGCTTGCATTGGTATCCTCCTGCTGCTGACATCCTTCTTGTGCCCCGACTTCTTGTTCAGGTGGCCTGATGTGCTTGGAGAAGTCACTTGCCCTGCCAACGTGCCAAATGTTGCGGTCATCTGGCTAATAGGCTAATCGCTGAAATTACTGTGATTTAAGATTCTAGCCCTCAGGGGCCAGTTTACACTTCTTTTGTATCTTTGTCTTTTTTTTAATGGTGGATAAAATATATATGTGAATCCACTGTGCACCCTTGTGTGATACTGCACTACATTTCCCAGCATTCCGCATCGCTGACCCTAGCTGAGCCTGCTGGGAAATGCAGCTGAATCACTTTTGGAGAGCCACAGGCTTCTCGCCTTGGTTTGAACTTGCGCTCTTCCGTTTAAAAACTTGGCATAACTGTTGAAATGTTAACCCCCCTCTTAGCTTTAAGGAAGTATCCCCTTCTGCTACAAACCCACACCGGTGTGTTGCTAATGTGCTTATTAAAGCAAGTTTGCTGTTGTGTTTTCTGTGCTTTAAAGGGAAAAAAGATGGCTGCATCAAAAAACTGTACCCTGAAGCTTTTTATTCTGCGTTTTTCTTTCATGATGGTAGAGGGAGGGATGTTTTAAAGGAGTAAGGCAGTAGTTTGGGTGAACTAATATTTTTTGCATGGATCCTTTTGAAAGCTAACTGGTTGTTTGGCTCTCCAGATTTGCTTAAGCTGTTGCACCAGCCGCTCCATGGATTGATCGCTGGTTCTTTCTCTTCCCTTATGGTACACTAAGGGCCGTTCTAAGGATATTGATTTCTCTTCCTGATGTGTAGCAGCACCACACCCAGCTAGATTGCTTTGCCCGATTTTTATACATTCTCAGACTCATAAATACTTGGAGAAAGTTATAAGCCAGTGGTATTTTGCAGATGCCTGTCTGGGTCATGGCTTCTCAGATGTCTTTTGAATGCAGACTTCACATAACTACATGGATAAACAGGCAATCAAGTAAGAAAGACGTGCTCAATGAGCACGACGGTTTTTAAAGTCTGATTTGAAATCAGCTGTTCTCCTATCTCCATCTGCCTGGTACTCAGCTTGCACTGAAATGAGGCAGTGAAGGAGCCCCAGTAAGCCTGTGAGCTAAACATGCTTGGTTTGCAGTGAAAAGCCATAACCCAGTTGTCTAGGAGCAAATGCCACGATGGCAGAGGTTGGCAATGTTTTCACTGTCTGGTGCACCATGGCCCAATCTCCTTTTTTTGATAGCCCAGCCTATCACCCCTTTACCTAAAAATCTTAAGACTGGTTGATCTTGTGACATTTTGGTGATTTCCATTCAGGCTCTAATGTGATACGAAGTCATGAGGTGTCGGCCATTAGAAACGAATTTTCTCTGGAATTTAAACATCCCTGCTGGAGATAACTTCTGGTCAGCAGCATCCACAGAGGGAGGTTGAGAGGGACAGGTTGGCAAGCCCATTGTCGCGATCCGAGCCCCGCCCCTTCCGTCCACATGTCAGCTTCACACATATCTACGAAAGGGGCAGGACTTGGATCATGATGCTGTGCCCACCATCTTGCCAACTTGACCCTACCCCAGTGGACAGCCCTGCTTCTCTATGATGTCTATAAAATTGCAGTCCATGTCTGGTGACCATACTTCATGCTGGGTTTTTAAAATATTGCTTTGTCATATGACTGAGTTTGCCCCCTCCCCTTCTCCCTATATCATGTCCCAGTCTTCTTGCAGAATCCTTCTTGTCCTTCAGAAGTATCTGCTAAGGAAGCAATTAGTTTTTTGAGATACATGAAGTCTGCAAAGCCACACTGTTGTGGGACTGTGGGTGTGTTTCTCCAGATCCTACCCTCTGTAAAGATAGTTATAGAAGAGGGGAAGAGGCTGATTTCATGCTAGTGTTTGAGCTTGACCCCCTTTTCTTTCTCTCTCCCTGGCACCCCTAGAGAGGGCCATGGTCAGCTTGTGGCTTTGGTCTGAAATTCCCATGATCCTCAAAATGGGGATGTAATGGTATATGGGAATGACCTTGGGAGGCAGGAGGAAGATCTGCAGCCTAGTCTATGGCCTGATAAGAGAAATCTGAGCCCAAAGGAGGGCTGGGTAGGGAGAAAACATCTCAGAAGGGACCCCCCTTAGTTTTCAGGGGAGTAAAAGTAGGGGAGGGGAGAGGTACTTTCAGACTTGCGAGATTGATGTTAGCCCTTTGAGGTAGTCCAGACAAGAAGCACAACAATGAATACTACTTCTATCTTGATTGTAAGGTTACATTAACAGAATCTTGCAAGTCTGAAAGTAGCCCTCCCGTCCCTTGCTTTTACTCATCCAAAAACTAGGGAGGGTCCCTTCGGAGACACTTTTGCTACTTCCCCCTGCTTCAGGCTCAGATTTCTCTTATCAGACTGTTATCTAGGCTGTGGCTCTTCCTCCTGCCTCCCAAGGTCATTCCCACATACCGTTACGGGAGAAGATCCTACAAAGATCCCTTAAGTTCCTGGAAATCGGGTGGGAATAAAGCTTAAGGCTCCAGAGGTAAGGAAGAAATCCTTCCATATTTGCTAACACATTATATCGAATTTAAAAATCTCAGCAGATCTAAGTACAGTAGTTTTTTTTTTAATGGTGGCTTTTCCTGAAATCAGCCCAGCAGGCAGAATCCACTGTCCAGCTCTATAAAGATTAGAAAAAGCCAGTGCTGAGAATTCCTCCTAAAACAGGCTTGAGTTGCAAGAGGGGGACTGCCCACCTTAGGACCACCTTGCCATGCCTCCGTGTTCCTTCTGTCCTCCCTAGGCGACGAGAGAGGCACGCGAAGACAATAGACATTGCCCAGGAAGAGGTCCTGACCTGCTTGGGCATCCACCTTTACGAACGGCTGCACCGCATCTGGCAGAAGCTGCGGGCCGAGGAGCAGACGTGGCAGATGCTGTTCTACCTTGGGGTCGATGCTTTACGTAAAAGCTTTGAGGTAGGGTCTCCGTTTCTTTGCTCAGCTGGGGGGAGAGAAACAGGAAGTATTAGTAGGAAAAGCGCTGAGGTCTATGGAGTCCTGGGATGAAGCAGTCAATTTTGCTGGTGTCCTCCAGAATTTAAAAAAAGGGAATGGGGAGGATTGTCCAGGTCCTTTAGAAAGAGGGGGCTGTCCCTGTTCTTTCCTGGTTGGAGCATTGCCCGATGGAAAGCACTCCGTTTTGGAGTACTTCCAGATCAGGGTTTCTCAACTTTGGCGACTTGAGGATGTGTGGACTTCAACTCCCAGAATTCCCCAGCCA